AAACATTCTTTTTTAATTTTCTTCTCACCCTCTGGCCACTCTTCCTTCATCTCCTTCTGCCTATAACTTAAATGTAGATGATCCTAAGATTCTGTCAACATTTCCCTCCTCACTCTAAGTGCTCCCAATATGCATTCTGTCTTCGCTCTAACTATAGCTTGTGCACCATGATTACCACATCTGAATAGCACTGCTTCTGACCTCTTGCTCCTGAACTAAAAGTCTGTGTTTCTAACTCTTTCAAAGCATCTTCTGGATATTTTCAGAATGTCTCAAATTCAGCATACTCAGAGCTAGACTGTCCTTTTCCACTCAGTCAAGTCTGACACCTTTTTCCTCATCACTTACATTAAGTTCTGTTGATCCTCACTCTAAAAAGTCTTACTGCTATAATCCTTGTTAGCTACTTTCACTACCACTGTTCTCGTATATGCCCTCAAAGTCTCTTATGAGGACCAGCAGGTAAGTTGATGGGAGCTTTGGGAATTAGACTAACTGGATTCCAGTTTTTGCACTTAACAGTTGTGTGCACTGGACAAGTTATTTAACTTTTTAAATATGCAATTTACTCATCTGTTAAATGGGGCTAGTATTTAGAAATTTAGTAATCTAAATAAAATGTCATTCACAATGGCAGGCATACAGTAACCATTCAAAAATGCTTTTCACTCCTTTCTTTCTGCCTTTAACCCATCTTTCCCAGCCAGTATACATTCAACAGTCACACCAGTTACTTTCTGACTTAAAAAGTCTACTCATGTCAGTCTTCAATTAAAAAAAAACTTTTCACAAATTTTTATGGCCTATATGACAAAGACCATCTCTTTAGTTTGACACTAGTGACCCATTAGAAATCTAACCCCAAGCTACCTTTGCAGCTTACAAACTCATTACTCCATATTATATAACTTTTTTTTTTTTTTTTTTTTGAGACGGAGTCTCGCTCTGTCACCCAGGCTGGAGTGCAGTGGCCCCATCTCAGCTCACTGCAAGCTCCGCCTCCCGGGTTCGCGCAATTCTCCTGCCTCAGCCTCCCGAGCAGCTGGGACTACAGGCGCCCGCCACCTCGCCCGGCTTATTTTTTTGTATTTTTAGTAGAGACGGGGTTTCACCATGTTAGCCAGGATGGTCTCGATCTCCTGACCTCGTGATCCGCCCGTCTCGGCCTCCCAAAGTGCTGGGATTACAGGCTTGAGCCACCGCGCCCGGCCCCTTATATAACTTATTTACCTGAGGTTGTCAAGCCTTGATTTCTTTATTGTAGCCACCTCCATGTTCAGTCTTCCCCCTTCTATTTCTAGCTGATGTAATCATATTTATATTTGCATATGCACCTGCTTTCACCAATAAATCCTAATTCCTTGGAAGCAAAGAACCCTCCTTTTAATTTGACACATTGCATTCACTTATTTATTCACTCACCCAATATTTATTACCCGAAAATCAGGCATTGTGCTAGATATTAGAGATACATAAACAAAGAAAGCTGGCCCACACCCTTAACAAGTGTGCAGTCTGGTGAGGAAAATGGGCATACAAACAATTCCAGTAATGGGCGATAAGTGAAAGGGTAGAGCAGTGGCTCTAGTTTCTGGTTATAGATTAGAATCCCTAGCATCGATTTTATAAAATGCTAATGGCTGGTTTCAACCACCAAAGATTCTAATTAATTGGTCTGTGGTAAATTTTTTTTTTTAAAGCTCCTCTAGCTGGGCACAGAGGCTCTCGCCTGTAATCCCAGTACTTTGGGAGGCCGAGACGCACGGATCACCTGAAGTCAGGAGTTCAAGACCAGCCTGGCCAACATGGTGAAACCTCATTTCTACTAAATGATACAACAATTAGCCGGGCATGGTGGCATGCACCTGTAATCTCAGCTACTTGGGAGGCTGAGGCAGGAGAATCACTTGAACCTGAGAGGCGGAGGCTGCAGTGAGCCAAGATCATGCCATTGCACTCCAGCCTGAGTGACAGAGCAAGACTCCAACTCAAACAAAACAAAAATAAAATAAAATAAATAAAATAACAAGCTCCTCTGTCCTAGTTATATGAAGCAATCATTGCAAGCCCCTGGTATAGAGCTGTACATAGAAGCCTATGGAATATTATGACTCAGAAACATTTCCTGAAAAAAACAAAAAACAAAAAACAAGACTATGGAGTATGAGAGACACAAATTTTTGCTGGCATTTTTGGTTGTTCCACAACACCTTGTTTTCTTTCTTCTTCCTTCCCAAATCTACTCAGGGGTATACCCCTTTTCCATGTGACTTAACACTAGCCCCAAGTCAGGGGTTGATTCTGATTGTTCTTTCTTGTGACCGGTTTAAGTGTAGACAAAGGAACTCACTGTGAACAAGGATACATGAGGGGAGGTTGCCTGTGGGAAGATGGGAAAAGGTTTCCAAATCCCAAGAAAAATGCATCAAGAAAGACAGGCTCTTTCTCTCTTTGGACACTGCTGCATCTGGCTGTGACACCTGGAACTGAAGCAACTATATTATAACTGTGAAAAGAGCCATCTTGAGGCCAAACTGAGATGTGAAAAGGAGCTGGGTTTTGGTGACACTACTAAGTCATTGCATCAAACAACCCTGACATCTGTCCACCTCTGCTTCTCTTTCATTTTCATTTTTCTGTCTTTCTTCCTTTTTCTTTATTTTTATTTTTTATTTTTTATTTTTGAGGCAGGGTCTCATTTTGTCACCCAGGCTAAAGTACACTGGCGCGATCATGGCTCATTGCAGTCTCAACCTCTCAAGGCTTAGTAGGGCCCAAGCAATCCTCCTGTGTTAGCTTCCCGAGTAGCTGGGGCTACAGGGGCACCTCATCATGCCCAGCTAATTAAAAAAAATTTTTTTGTAGAGACAGGGCCTCCCTATGCTCCCCAGGCTGGCCCTGAACTCCTGGGCTCAAGTGATCCTCCCGCCTCGGCCTTCCACAGTGTTGGGATTACAGGCGTGAACTACCATGCCTGGCCTTGCATTTCTTGATGTATAAAATAATACATTTCCTGATTTCTTATGATGCTCTGAGTCAAAATTCTGATTACCTGCAACAAATCACATCTCAACTGATATAGAACTAAATCGAATTTGGGGATCAAGGAAGGCACCCTAGAGAAGGTGATATCTGAGGAGTTTCCGGTATGGCCACCAAGAAGCAGGAAAAGCAAACCAAAAGGCATGCATATAAAAGTATAAAATATTCTGGGAAGTGCACATAGTTCAGAATGGCTATTGCAAAGAGTATGAGCAGGGAAATGAGGACGGAGAAGTGACAGTCTGGGACAAGATCTTGAGAAGCCTTGTATCCTGTGATAGATTAAATGTGGTGACAAATGTTTTGTAGCTCCTCCTATCCAGAGGCAAAGCCTACTCCAGTACCTCATGAATGTGGCTGGCTTTATGACTGACTTTGACCAACAGAATGTGTCAGAAGTGATATTATTCAAATTCCAGAGCCGAGACCTGCCTCTCTTGAAATGCTGTCTGAGGCTGTCATGTTGTAAGGAAGGCAATCTAGCTTACTGAAGAATGAGGGGCCAGGTGGTGGGGACACTGAGGCGCCCCAGCTGACATCCAGCACTGACTGCTGGGCATGTGAGGGAGGAGGCCATCTTGGACCATGCAGCTATTTCAGTCATCATCCGACTGCAAATGAGCACAGCCAACCCATAGAATCATAAAAAATAATGTGTCATTGCTGTAGTAAGCCACTACGTTTAGGGTGGTTTGTTATACAGCAATAGGTCTCTAACATAGGCCGTGCCAAGATGTTTGAGCTTTATTCTGGAAACTATGCAGAGTAACCTGATTAGACTCGTGTGTTAGAAAGATGACCTTGGCAGTACTATGGAGAGTGGCTTGGAGTGGGTCCACGGTGGAGGCGGAAGACTTGTTAGAAGACCATTGCGTTAATGGACCTGAGAAATCTGGATGCAAACTAAGACAGTGATAGTGGGGAGGCAGAGAAGAGTCATGATAGAGGTAAAAATCAACATGATGTGTTGGACACAGTGGCTCACACCCGTAATCTCAGCATTTTGGGAGGCTGAGGCAGGCAGATCACTTGAGGTCAGGAGTTAGATACCAGCCTGGTCAACATGGTGAAACCCTGTGTCTACTAAAAATACATGAATTAGCTAGGTGTGGTGGTATGTGCCTGTGGTCCCAGCTACTCAGGAGGCTGAGGCACCAGAATCACTTGGACCTGGGAGGCGTAGGCTGTAGTGAGCCAAGATCTCACCACTGCACTCCAGCCTGGGCGACAGAGTAAGACTGTCTAAAAACAAACAAAAAAACATGATGGTGACATAGGTTACAAAGTACAAAGGAGAAAAATGAACTAAGAATTACTCAAAGGTTTCTGAATTTGGTAAATGAGTGAATGGTCATGCCATTTTCTAAGACAGAGATTATGGGAGCAAGTGAAGGTTTGCAGTAACCCTGGAATATCCAAATGGAGATGGACAGCAAGGAATTGTGAATACTCAATAAATATTTGATGAATAAATTACTGATTAATCTGAGTGGGTACCAAAGTGCCCTAGTCCAAGGAACTAACTATCTTTAGATGGTTTATATGGTATAAACTAAGTACTAAGTCAAGTAAGGTTTTGTGAACATGTGAACTCATGTTATTAACACTTCCTTAGAATAGAAAGGAAAAAGAAAGGTAAGATTCGATGCAGTCTAAAAGTGCTGGCAAATCTGCACATTATTTAGGTCACGTGCATCAATCTGTAATTCTTAGGGAATGAAAAGTAATGTTCCTACCTGAAGTCACTATCATTTTGTAGTGTATTCAGAAAGTAAGGTATACAACACAGGTCTTTTTCTTTGTTCTGTAGATTCTTTATATTGGTTTCCCTAACTACGTGCTAGGAAGAGTTGAGGCTATCTCCATGCTGTCAAGTGGGCATAATCGATGATATATCAGTGTAATAAGTTGCAGAGTCTACAAACACTTTTAATATGCACATGCAAATATTGACTTACCTTTGATGTTGATTAAAATAGCAAGTAAATGGCTGGGAACCAATCTCATCTTTCCAGTACTGTTGCCAATTCATGACACTTTCCAAATTCTTCTGATTTTCTCTCTTACAGGGAGGGATATAGGAGCACTAACAAAATAGAATACAGAAAGTAAACCTATTATTTTATGGAATATTGAGATATAGTCATTGTTTATAGAAAGATGGCATTATAAAGACAGTAAATCTAACTTAGACCTGCCCAATTTTTAAATACAACCAAATTGAAATTACTGAACTATATTTCAAATTCCCAGTCTGGCACAAGGACAGAAAGTATTCCAAACACAAAAACACAGCAAAAAATAAACTTCAGTCATTATGGTATAAGGGTATTTTATAAACAATTAGTTACCATGTAATAGCAAATTAAAAGCATAATATACTCTCTATTTTGGGGATCTGTCCGTCAACAGAAGGAGGCATAAAAAAGTTTATTTTTATCCCCAATTCCTATCTATGAACCTTGGCATTTCTCTCTTCTACCTATAACCAATAAATTCAAGCACACAGCTCTTCTCAGGATACTGCTCCTAACTGCTAAAACCCAAGTTTTCTTTTCTTACACTCTCTTGGACAACAAAATCAGTGGAAAATTTCCTTTCAAATACATCAATGTATTTTGCTAATTGATGTCTTTTCCTAGTCATGCCTCTGACAAAGTAGTTCTCTTAAAGGGGCTCTATTATTCTAAGCAATATAGATTAAGCAGAATCAGACAACTGCTCTTAAGTCCAGATGTTAAAATCAACTCTCGGCATTCTAATCCATTTTCTGCAATTCAGTTTTTTACAATGATGATGAAGATGATGCCAGTTTCTATTTATTGATTGTTTGCAATACAGCAGACACTGTAATAAATGCTTAACAGGACTTATGTACTTTTTACCACCCTATAACAATTTCCATTTTATAGATGCAGACCTTGAGATTTTCGTCAACTCTACAACCACAATCAGATTTTGGTGGTCTTATCACATTGTACTCTTAGGTGTTTTACCAAGGTATCTGATATTAAGGAGCAGGCAAAAACCAAACCAAACACAACAAAGAGCTTTATAGTATAATTTCAGTCACATTGTTTAATTTACAGCATACAATTATTCAACATCTCATTATTTTCTGGTAAAACTGAAATGTTTTAGCATGATGCACAAAGCTCTTCGTGATCTGGTCCCTGCCTGTCCTCACCCTTGTTTAATTCTGGGATGTAGCCATATGGATGTACTTGCTCTCCAAATCTGCCACGTGCTGTCAACCTACTTGCTTGGCACAGGCTGTTCTCTCTCCTTTTAATGCCCTTTGTTCCTAATTCTCCTTTTTTTAAGATTCAAGTTTGGTGTTACCTACTTGAGGGAACCTTCTTTTTCTTCTACCACAGTTAAGTGCCCCTCATTTGTGCTGCGATGGGACTCACGCCACGTGATATCACAGCTGGAAACACACAGTATCATACTTGTCTGTTTTATGTCAGCCTTCCCAGTTTGCTGGCGAGGTGAGAACAAGAACTGTTTTCTGTCTTTTCTATCTTTTCACACTCATGACTATGTCTGCTAACGGTGAAATGGCAAAAATGTTGGTTGAATTAGTTAATGATAACATGGGTACATTTTTATTGAAGATGATGACATTATTTTCACAGTGTTTAAACATTTTTAAAATATATAAACACCTTATAAATTTTAGTAAATCTGGTTATTGTCTATTATATAGAATACATTCACAACATGTTATGCAAATGTTACTTTAACGATTGAATCACTGAATGTTTATCCTTTGCACATATAGTTCTACTTCTATTAATAACAGTAATACAAAGCTAAAAATGTCTGTGAAATTATGGATTCTGAGTTCTTCCAAAGCAGCAGCTGGATTTGGAAGCCGTGGAGACCATTAGATAGGGCTCCAGTCCTACTGTCTATTAGGTGTTAGGCCTTGGGTAAATTACTTCCCTTTTCTGGACTTCATTTTTTCAAATATGCAAAATCTCCAAAATAATTTCTAGCTCTACATTTCCATGATTCTATTCTTGGAGGTACACCAAGAAAGAACCCAGCAGAAGGCAGGACTACAAACACTGTCACAGTATTTTTCCCAGAAGAGATCCTGCCCACTGGGGAGATGGCTGGGAACCCTGACTAAGCCAACATTCCAGCCAGCAACGAGGAGGAGTGTGGTAGGTCCTTCCTTAGGGAAGTAGGGCCAGTACTTTGCATTAGAAAAATGTTCACAAGAGGACCATGATTTTCCTATTGCTTACTTTCTCTAAGGTGTTGGATATTTTGTTTCCTTCTATTAAAATACATTTTTTTTTCTGCATTATAGTCAATTAGTATATAAAGTGTGAGTAGGTCCCAATTTATTGTGCTCTTCTAGGAAGGAGAAATTTCTCAATTTGGAGGTAGAAGCTGTGAAGTGTGAGAGCCTAAAAATTCATCAGAGCCCTTTTTGCAATGGGTATACTTGACACAAGAGATATACTAAGTGCATTAGGAAAGAACAATTAACCACGTGTAATCAAAACAGAATTTTAAATATTTGTAAGTTAACTCAGTTTGAACCCTTTGCTATTTAGTTTTTTGGGGAGAAATGGGTTTAAAAGAAATGTTTCTCTCAAATGATACCCTAAGATTTGACCAGAAGAATTACATTGACATGCTTCTGAAAAGGTCAAACAAAAGCTTTCACTGAGTGTGTAAAGTTTTGTTATTAGGTATGTTGAAGTTTCATGTGAGATTTTAAAATATATATATTCTCGCTTTTTTGGAAAGTCTGAGGTTGTGTGGATGGATTTTGGATGGAAAGTACTTTTTTACACTGGAGAAAATAACCTGAGATCAAAATTTGAGTATTCTTTTTATGCACTGCATTTTTTCCAAAAAGTTACATAGATTAAGTGATCTATACTTCTAATACTCTAGCAACTTTTTAAAACTAACATTGCCTGGAAAGAAATTTTTTTTAAGAGTTGAGGTCTTGCTCTGTGACCCAGGCTGGAGTGCAGGGGCGAGATCACAGCTAACTGCAGCCTTGAACTCTCGGGGCTCAAGCGATCCCTCTGCCTAGCCTCTTGAGTAGCTAGGACTACAGCTACTCCACCACACCCAGGTAATTTTTTATGGAGAAGGTGTCTGTCTCCTTTTGTTGTCCAAGCTGGTCTCAAACTCCTGGGCTCAATTGTCCCACCCCGGCCTCTAAGAGTATTGGGATTACAGGTGTGAGCCATCACACCTGGTCTGGAAAACTAAACTTTTTAAGGTAAACACCAAATTCTTAAAAATTATTACGGCTCCATTTCCTTAAATCTTTATTCTCAAGTTACTATGAAGCCTAACTCAGATCCTCCCTAGATTCCTTCTCAATTCACTTAGTGGATCGTCGTAGATTGTCAGAATTTTTACATAGATTAGAAATTAAAGTCCAAAGCACGGTTCTGGAAACAGAACTCGAGAACTCAATCATACAAATGCCTTTTAATTCTAGATTGTTCAAGCCTGGTGGTTTTCCAGGCTGCATAATAGTTCCACCATGAATGTCTCTCATCTGGGGAGGCAAAAATAACAACCTACATGGTAACATCATCATCACAGCTAACATTTATTGACTATATGTCAAGTGTTGCATTAATTCAAACGAGCAAATATTATAATTACTTCCATTTTTGGATGAGGAAACTGAGGGACAGAAGGACTTAAGAAAACTTTCTTGGCCAGGTACCATGGCTCACACCTGTAATCCCAGGTGTGGGATTCCCAGCTTTGGGAGGCCGAGGCAGGCAGATCACTTGAGGTCAGGCGTTTGAGACCAGCCTGGAGAGCAGGGTGAAACCCCATCTCTACTGAAAATATAAAAATTAGCAGGGCGTGGTGGCACACACCTATAATCCCAGCTACTCAGGAGGCTGAGGCACGAGAATCGCTTAAACCTAGGAGGCGGAGGCTGCAGTGAGCTGAGATTACGCCACTTGCACTCCAACTTGGGTGACACAGCGAGACTATCTAAAAGAAGAAGAAAAGGTTCTCAAGGTCCCAATGACAAATGGAAAAGCTGGGATTCAGACTGCAGAGTGGTCCTAACTGCTGCTTTCCATATCTCTATCTTTAGGGATTCCATCTTCTCTCTTTGGAGCTCCTGATTTAGGACAATGAGATCCCTTGCCCTCTGCATCCCTCTCTCGGAGCACCAGTGTAGTATTTTTATTGGAATGGAAATGATGTAGTCCTCCTGAGAGCTGATGGGTCGAGGCAAGTCTGTTGCAGTCCTTTGTTTTCCTGGTACATCCTCAGAGAAATGCACTGTAAGTCTTTGCGTGTTCCCTCCTGTTTCAGTTTGGCTTCAGGGTTGGTTTCTGGTGCCATGGATGTAATTTCACTTAGGTGAATTTATAGACATAATGCCTTTGGTCATGGAGGACAATAGCATTTCCTTAGAGAAATTTCTTCATATAGTTCTGACCTATTTTGTTTTTCATTTGCAAAGGCAGCATTTCCAGGCTTCTAATATCATTATTGCACAAATAACCTTCACTAGAGCCCATGTTGTTTGCTGCCTGAACTTGGATGAAGTAACTTCTTTAAATAAAATTTCAGAAAAAGATTTTTTGACTTTTGCATTCATGAACAAAGTTCATGGAACTGAGTGGGCTATCCTGACAAGAATAACATACCGTCTTCTAATGAGTTTATTAAGAAACGACACTATTGTCATATGACATGGATTATTATTACTTAGTTTTCCATTATCTTATGTTAGGGTTTATCAAGATTTATAATAGTATTTTTATTCTGCCGACCACAATGGGATTTATATTTTAATAGACTCGTTCTTGAGTAGGTTCTTTGTGATTAAGTGTCTTGAGAGGACTGCATTTCAGTCATTTGGGCAGAGTAGGCAGAATTAACTTTCTTCTGTTACTGAATTATTTAAAGATTATTGCATAAATCCTGTAGTCTACTTAGTTAAATATCAGGGACTGGGTTCTCTCAGGAATTATCTAAGAAACAGAAATGAGGAATTTGTTTCCCCAGTTTTTCTCTTGACTTCATTTGGTTAGGGAAGGTAGTAGTGAAAGACCTAATACTAGAATGCAT